CAACTCTGAGCGAGGCCCTGCTCTGAGCCATAACATGTATCGCTTCAGTTCCCCCTCATGGCTCCCTGTGACGTAGGTATTATGAGACCCATTTTACAGAGGAGGACATCGAGGCCCACCGAGGTCAAGTATGTGCCAAGTCGAGCTAGGGAGTGATAAACTAAGATGCGAGCCCAGGTTTGTCTGACTTCAAAACCCGGGCTCAGCGTCAGGGGGGCTGTTGGAAACCTTAGTCTCCTGGGCTCGGTTTTCTCATCTGTAAAATGGGGATCATTGTAGGTAACTCAGAGGGCCCTCGGAGAATCTAATGAGGATATATATGTGTGAAAGTATTCATATCTTTGAAGGCAGATTGTAGACAGGAAAGTGACACATTTCAAGGGATAAATATGTGAAAGGAGAATATTTACAAAGGCAATGATTTCCAGTTCACTAGGGGGGCTCACAACGTCTCCAAGGAACATCCTTCTTTACTTTTTTTTTTTAAGATTGATTTAGTGAGAGAGAGAGAAAGAGTGAGTGGGTAAAGGGGCGGAGGGAGAGGGAGAGAGAATCTCAAGCAGATGCCGCACTGAGCGTGGAGCCCATTGTGGGGCTCGATCTCACGACCCTGAGATCATGACCTGAGCTGAAATCAAGAGTCGGATGCTTAAGCCACTGAGCCACCCAGGTGCCCCTGGAACACCCTCCTTTAAGATGAGGAATCAGGGATGCTTACCTGGTTGGCTCGGTTGGAGGAACATGTGACTTTTGGTGTAGAGATTACATAAATAAATAAAAACTTAAAAAATTAAAATAAAATGAGGAATCATCCCTTTGCTTATCCTTGGTAGATACTCAGTTTTCCTATAGGTTGTGGCTTAAAGCAAGGCACACCTGCATTTTAAAAAATTTTTTATTATTTATTTATGTATTTATTGGTGAAGATTTGATGCCTTGAAACTGTATTTCTTCAACTGGTGTACCCAAGGTGTTGATTTGCAGCTGAGGCTGAGGACTAATCCCCAAGTTCCCAGCACCAGCTGTTTCCTGGGCTGGGGGGTTTCCATACAGAGACATAGGTTTGGGCTGGATGACCCTTGTCCCCAGGCTACTGCTGGCTCTCTGAGCCTCCTGCCTTCCCACGTGTGTTACTTAATGTCGTGCAAGATCCCCTGGTCTGCCCCAGGGGAAGTGCCGCAAGGAACCTCAGAGACCAGAACTTGCTGATTCATCTGCAGAGCCAAGGGCAGGTTAAGGGGACTGAGTCCCGGAAAAGGAGGTGACACCTGTCTGGCAGCCTCACCAACACTCCCCTCATGCCTGACTGTCTCCTCTCTCTTTCTCCCCGGCTCACTGTCTGTGGAGACCAAGCACCATGCAGGGAGCGGGGAACCACACCTTCTACCTGCTCATCCCCAGCCCTGCAGTGGTCCCTTTCCAAGGTCGGGTCTTCCCCTCCCCTGCTCTGGGAGCGTCAACATCTACTTGGCCGCTGTACCTCCTGGTGAGGTTTATGATCGAGCTGTTAGGACTGCTCTTGACATGGTGAAGTTGCACCAGATGTAGCTGGCTCCTACCACTATGCACAAAATCACAGCTCCTGGCCAACTCCTAGGTCTATCCTAGGGAGCATTCTGTGGAGAATCACCAAGACAGAGTCCCTCCCGCACTTATTCGTTCGTGTATGAATGTTTATTGCATTCCTACTATGTATCTGGAACTATTCTAGGCACCAGGGGCACAGACAATTTTGCCCTTGTGGAACTCACATCTAATGGGAGAGGCAACCAACAAGTAAATATATCAAGTCCCGGAAGGCGATATGTGTTACAGGGAATAGAGAGAGCAGGGAAGGGGACTGAGTGGGAGGGAGGGGTGATCCTTAATCAAGGGCAGTTGGAAGCCTCACTGATGAGGTGCAGGGCACAGTGGTGCAGATAGCTGGGGAAGAGCCTTCCAGCAGAGGAAAACAAGCAGCAGCCCGAGGCCAGTGTGTGCATGGAATTGAGTGAGCTGGGGGGTGGGGGGGGAGGGCTGGAAGGATTGAGGTATTATCCAGGGAGGAGCAGGTTTGAAGCATGAAGTTTAGTGCTGTGAATATTTTCCTAAAGTCTAACTCAAGTCCCTCAAGCCAGTTAGTTTAATTAAGCTGGGTTAAGGGTTCAGGTGCTGATTTGCTGTTTCTTTGACTCTAACCTCATCTCACATCTCTGGGGAGAGTGGCTGAGTTTCCCCTGGAAGGCAGTGTTTCCTGAGTGCCTGCCCAGGCCCTGCCTTCCTTCTGCCTCTCCACACCGCCCCCCTACCCTGCCCTTTCCCACTACCGCCCCCTGCATCCAAGGTTGACCCACCTGCCTTAACTCCTCCCAGCACACACACACCTAATGTCCTTATCACTTCTTCTGCATCTTCTCTCTCGGCTACACTGAGAGCCCGGGCGGGATGGACTCATTTTTTTAACTGCTTGGAGTTTATTGCACTGGGTACCACAGAGGTCTCCATAAATACGCTTGAATTGATTCGGCTGTGGATGCTCAGCGCGGGCCAGCTCTCTTCTTGGGGACGCATGGGCTCCAAGCAGCCTTCTTTGTACAGTAGCCCCCCCCGCCCCCCCTGCCATGGGCTTGAGGGATGTAAGAAGGGCTGGAGGTTACTAAGCATGGTGGGGGTGGGATCCGGGGCTCACACTGGGAGAGTGGAGCTGGAATTTCTGATTCCCTTCCCCCACCCTTGGACTTGACCATCTGCATACTAAATTCCTGTCACCTCTAGGATGTCCCACAACATGAGACTGTGGTCTTTCAACCCCTGGGTTCCAAGGTGTCCCAGGGGCTGCTGTAGGGCAGGGGAGGCTCAGTGAGATCCCTCTGCCCCACTCCCACTCTGACAGGGGGAGGAACTCTGCTTTTATTTATTTTACATGTGTGTTTCCAGGGATGGTTTCATTTCAAAAGATGATTTGCTTCTAAGGACACACACACACACACACACACACACACACACACACACAGCAAAACATCGATATAGCTGAAAGTGATAGAAACCCTGGCTCTAGGGGCGCCGGGGTGGCTCAGTCATTAAGCATCTGCCTTGGGCTCAGGTCATGGTCCCAGGGTCCTGGGATCGAGCCCCGCATCGGGCTCCCTGCACATCGGGGAGCCTGCTTCTCCCTCTGCCTGCCGCTCCCCCTGCTTGTTCTCTGTCTCTCTCTCAAATAAATAATCTTTAAAAAAAAGGAAGGAAGGAAGGAAGGGAGAAAAGAAAGAAAGAAAGAGAGAGAGAGAGAAAGAAAGAAAAAGAAAAGAAAAAGAAAGAAAGAAGAAAGAAAGAAAAGAAAAAAGAAAAGAAAGAAAAGAAAAAAGAAGAGAGAAAAGAAAAGAAGAGACCCTGGCTCTAAGAGCTGGCGTTATCTGACCAGGGCTGGCCTCCTCCTCATCTAGAAACAGGAGGAACATATGGAAATATTTCTCCAACCATGGGATGGTAGCTGTCATGTTCCTCAAAGCAGGATTTTCTGACTTTAATGTTTGTGACCTGCGGAGCAGACGCTCTGGTGATTCTGACTCAGGTAACCGGTACACCACGTCTTGACCCTGAACGCGCCCGATCTCCTCTGATCTCGGAAGCTAAGCAGGGTCAGGCCTGGTTAGTACTTGGATGGGAGACAAACATTGCTTTTTAAAAAAATTCCTAAAAGAGAATGATTTCTGGGGACACCTGGGTGGCGCAGTCGGTTAAGCGGCTGCCTTCGGCCCAGGTCATGATCCCAGGGCCCTGGGATCGAGTCCCGCATCGGGCTCCTTGCTCAGCAGGAAGCCTGCTTCTCCCTCTCTCTCCCTCTGCTTGTGCTCTCTCTGTCAAATAAATAAAGTCTTAAAAAAAAATGATTTCTGGAAGGATCTATAAGGAACAAGTAAGGGCGGTTACCTCTGGGGAGGAGAGCTGGGAGGCTTGAAGGCAGGGGAGGCAGGAAGACTTACTCCCATTGTATTCTCGAATTCTGTACCACATGCATGTGTAGTTGAACCACATACATGTATAAATAAATGTAAGTTTCTTTGAAAAATAAATTTAAAACATTTAAAGCATGGTTCAAGTACAAGGCAAAAAAACCAACACCCTGAATATAGCCCTCGCCTTGTTCCCACTGCAGATTGGAATGAAGCGCGGGGAAAGCCAGCAAACTGGCTCCAGAGGCCTTTGGGAGGACAGTGAGGGGGGGGGGGATCGTGAGAGGAGGGGCGGGGGAGTCACCCAACCAACCTCTCCCTCAGGCGTAGCAGAAGGTGGGCAAGAGGGGTGATCCTGTTTCCCCTGAGGGAGCTGCCAACCATAGCAGAGGTGCTAAACGACAGAACAGGCACACCAGCAAACCACCTGGGCTCCTGAGGCATATACTTCAGAACAACTGCCTCCAGGCGTTGGTGCTAATCCGCTCGCTGGGCTGTTCCCTCCCTCCAGTGTCAGTCCCTCCAGGGCAAAGCCCGTGCCTTGCTCCTCCTGTGTGTCCAGCACCTGCGCCCCGATGCACAGGCCTGAGAAGGCTCCCCGTGCCCCCCGGCCCAGCAGAGGGGTGCTGCTGCGGCCACAGCACCTGGTCACCTGCAGCTTACGGCTTACACACGGCCTTTTCCATGCCAACTGGGCTCCCGATCACCCTGAGGGAACGGTCTTGCGTCTACCATCTTGTATTTTGTGGTGTTCTCCTGGCTGAGCCACTTCACCTCTTTGGTTCTGTCATCTGTCAAAGGGGAGCCCTGGTTTCTGATTTAGCCACAGGCCAGGGAACACCTAAGAATCCAGGGGTTCAAAGAGGCAGTAAGGGAGGGGCAGAGACCCAGTTCAGACCAGTTTCTGAACTGAAATATTTCTGCTGCCCCATCATCCTGGGGAGGTGGCCGGCTGCTCCTTATCACTGATGCGGAGATACTCGGAAAGGGTTGATAAACCCACTTATTTTCTCCTGGCACTTTGGTTATTATTAGGAATTTGTTAGGAGAGAGGAACAGGCAAAGGTATACCTTCATGCTTATTTAATAACCTTTTTTTTTTAAGCATATTCCTGTGGCCACAGGTGCTGGGCAGGCAAGTATAATGACGATACAGAGAAAAGGAAGAACATTTAACTCCTTATGGCAGGCCGTTGCCTGCAGAGAAAGTATCCAGGGATATGAGGGCGGGAAGGCTTCTCTCATACAGATGGCAAAACTAAGGCCAGGATTCGGAAGGGGCTTGCCCAGGTTCCACCAGTCGGAAGGCTCCAGCGATCTTTAATGGGATTTATTAAGGAGAAAATAGGAGTGTTGGTTCTTAGCCCAATCCTAACGGGGTGAAGCAGGGAAAGGTCGAGCCTGGGGGACAAGACAGGAGGGGGAGGGTGGTGTCATCCTACAAAAGGAGGGCGGGGAGCCCAGAACAGGATCCAGGACCTCGGTCCTCCCTCCCTCACGCTTGCAGATCCTTGAAGACTGCCCTTTCCTCACCGGAGGACGCAGGCGGCCAAAGAGGGAGATTGTCCACTCCTGAGCCCAGAGCCTCACGCCGAGGAACGACAGGGGCGGATAGGCGTTCTCCCATTTCTGCTAGTTCTGTTAAGTTCTCGTGATGTGCTTCTGGCCAAGTGCCTTCGCCCCTCAGTCTTGCCACCTGCAAAATGGGGTCACCGCCGCTGCCCCACCGCGCGGGCCAGGAGGGCCTAGAAGGAGGGGTTCTGTGCCTGGCTGCCGGGAAATAGGTTCCTCCCCGCTCCCCCAGGGCCCGGCCCAAAGAGGCGTCTGGAAATTGCACCGAGCCAGCCAGTCTGGGAGGGAAACAATCAGCAGCCCCGACGCGGGGATCAGAGCAGCTCTGCGGACGGCGGGGGCGGGGGGCCGGGCGGGCGGCGCAGGGCGGAGAAAGGCGCGTGTCGCACGCAGCCCCCCGGCCCGTCCCCGCCGGTGGCCACGGCCGCCCTTCCTCCCGGCGCTCGGCTCGGCGCGCGGCCCGCACGGTCCCGGCCCCGCTCGGCCCGGGCTCCCGCCGGGCGTCCCCCCCCCCGCCCCCCGCTACCTGGCGTGTGGCCCGGGGCGCCGAGCCGGTCACGTTCGGGAAGGAGGGGACCCGGCGTCCGGCGGGCAGCGGCCCCCGCCCAGCCCCGGGCACGCCTCTGCGGGCGCCACGTCCCGGCGCGGGTGCGGTCCCCGGGCGCGACGCCCTCTCGGCGGCCCCGGGGTCGGGAGGAGCCCCGCGCCCGCCGGACGCCCCTGTCCCCAAGAGGTGGCGCTTCCCGGAGCCCCCTTCACCGCCCCCGACCCTCGGTCAGCTGAGAGCTGGTAACTTGGGGGCCAGAAGCAAAGCCAACCGGGAGGAAGGGGCGCCAACGACCGGAGCTGGGGTCCCCTCCTCCGCTGCCGGGGCGGCTGGCGAGCGTTTCCTGCTCGGTACCGCCGCCCCTGCCCCCGAACGAGCCAGAACTCGCCCTTGAACTGTAGGACGACCTCCTAGGCGGAGGAGGGTGGAGAGAGCCTCCGGGTCAACCTTGTGGTTTGACGGATGAGGAAACCCAGGCCCAGAGAAGGGCCCTGACTTGCTCAAGGTCCTCACTGCAGGGTAGCGCCTAGTCCACGTCTTTGTCGCCCAGCCCAGGCCCCTTTCTCCGACACCGCGTACCCTACTTCAAATTAAATCAAATCCACCCTTGGGCTAAGGACAGCCTGACTTTGCCAAGAGTGGTTTGGCTAAATTAGTGAAATGCTAGGAAAAAAAAAAAAAAGGAAGGTTTCTAATAAAAGCTGTCTCCACCCAACCGAGTGTTCTCCGCGCTCACCCACTAGCTCCACAAATCACCTGCACAGCCGCGCTGGACACCGGCAGCCTGGCAGCAACAGGCCCCTCCCTCCTTTCTTGCCCTACCCTCCTCCCCACGCACAGTGGCATTTTCTTCTCTGGTACCTGGAAGGGGCACAAATGCCCAGCGACCTGATTGGATCCCTTGCTGCCTGTGTTGTTTTCTCTGCCTTTAGAAACTGCCCAGGGCTGGGAAAGTAGGGCTAGGAGACGGATTTGATTCTTCTGCTGTCTTTTACCTCTAGCTAGGGTTCTTGCGTTCTACCCAGGGCAGATCTCAAACTGTGTCCCATGATTATATTTAGACATCCCTTCATTCCCAGTCTTTAGGGAGGGCTAATTTAGCTATTGTCTAAACACACCAAGGCACAGTTTCAAACCACACCAAGGATGACCCTTTGCTTAAAAGTCCCACATCAAAAGTAGCTCCTCCTAGATCCCCACCCTGCCCCCTGACAATTCAGTGAGGAAATGGCCAGCTGCCAAGTAGTGGTAGATTACAAAACTTAGCTTGGTCAAGACTTTCTGGGTCAGGGTAACCCAGAGGGGGAACTGAGAATCCCAGCTCAAAATCTAGATCACCCTCAACATGTGTGTGGTTGAGCAGATCATTCAACCCCTCGAGGACCTTGCCTCCATCCCCACTCTCTTGGAGACCATTCCATCTTCTCAACTGTAAGAGAAACAGCATCTCATCTTGAGCGTGATGACTGACCTCAAAATACTTTCGGGGGACTAATCTACACTCACAGAAGGAAGAAAGGCACATCTAACCCCCCAATCCTTGTCATACCTGTGTGTATAATGTATATATGGAATTCTGTGTCCCAGAGAGCCACTTGAGGGTTTAGGAATCCTGGGTCTTTCACCTTTCTGTGCTTCTCACCATTAGGGCCCAATCCTGGAAGTGAGACTGAGGTCCTCACAGACCTTTAAATAGGGAAGCCACCTTTAAGATCATGCCTCCTGACCCTTTCATTTTTTTTTTTTAAGATTTCATTTATTTGAGAGGGAGTGAGCGAGAGAGAGAGAGCGAGCGAGCGAGCAGAAGCCAGGGGAGAGGCAGAGGGAGAGGCAGACTCCTCCACGCTGAGCAGGAGCTCCACGTGAGGCTCGATCCCAGGACCCTGAGATCATGACCTGAGCCGAAGGCAGACGCTTAACTGACGGAGCCACCCAGGCACCCCCACTGACCCTTTTCATTTTGAAGTGATTCCATAATTATTAATTTGTATGTTGAGTACCTGCCATGTGTTACAGCTGAAGACTGTTCTCTTCACTCAGGCCCACAGCGGGACTAGGAGACAAACAAGTCAGACGCTAGTTATAAACAATGTGAGAAGACGTGTGACAGTCATGTGCGGAGCGTAGGAGGGACCAGCTCTGCTTGGGGAAGAATCCGATATACAGAGGAGTGATACCTGATTTGGATTTTGAAGGATAAATGGTTGGCCCAGAAAGGTGGGTTGGGATAAGAGGCTGAATTAGGACTACAACCCTGTTTCCTAGGCTGGCTGGTGCTCTTTCCTCACATGGCCACTATTTCTATCACCTTGAAATGACTCGCTAGGGAATCTGAAGAGCTGAATTCCCAGCTGCCTGACGTGGGGCACCCATGCTATAGTCTAGGAAAGGCCATGATGCTGTTCAGCCTTGACCCCGCATCCATCAGCAAGACCAAATCAGCCTGGGCAACAGAGGGAGGAAATAAGAGACAACCGATCAAGCAGACAGACCATGCCAGCAGTGAAGATTTGAATCTTTGAAACTCTTGACATAGCCTAGTTCTCTTTTGCCTGGGCAAGGAGAGCAAAGGTAGATTCCATTTCTTTCTCCACTCGTAGGCACCAGAAATGTAGCCTGGTGAATCTGAACGGTGGATTCTTGGTTGTCTGTGTGTGGCTTTTCCACTAGTGGAGAAACTCTTTCCCAGACTTCCTGGTCCCTGCCATGTGGCATGGGGTGCTCAGAGGAGGCAGATGTCTTAGTTCAAGACAAACCCAATTCAGAATGGCGACTGTCTGGGCTAAACATGCAATTATAGAATGAAAATCCAACAAAAAATGAAGTTGGAACCTATTGTTCTTTTTAGATCAGTCTCTGTATTGCTTCTCCTCCTTTAAAATATGAATGAATTAGAATTTTTACATTATTTTAAAAGACTGGAACATGAGCACTACGTGTTATACGCAACTGATGAATCACTAAACTCTACCTCTGAAACTAAGAATACACTCTATGTTAATTAATTGATTTTAAATTTAAAAAAAGACTGGCATAATAGAAATACGTAAGCGAAAGAATGAGGTCCTGGGACTGACTTCCTGAGAGGCAGATCCGCAGCAAGGCCGTGAACTTGCAGGCTGGCTTAATGGCCACTTCGCTCTGGGGGAGTCAGTTTCCTTACCTAGAACACGAGAGCTGAGATCCCAGGACCCTGAAATCATGACCTGAAATGAAGGCAGATGCTTAACCGACGGAGCCACCCAGGCACCCCTACAGAGTTCTGACTCTTTTTTTTTTTTTAATATTTTATTTATTTATTTATTTGAGAGAGAGAATGAGATAGAGAGAGCACATGAGAGGGGGGAGGGTCAGAGGGAGAAGCAGACTCCCTGCTGAGCAGGGAGCCCGATGTGGGACTCGATCCCGGGACTCCAGGATCATGACCTGAGCCGAAGGCAGTCGCTTAACCAACTGAGCCACCCAGGCGCCCCAGAGTTCTGACTCTTGAACCTACTGCTCACCTGCCTGATTCTGTCCTCCGCCGTGTGGAAAACAGTGCGTCCTGGTGACCATCTCGCACATCAGTCTAGAACGCCGGAGTGAAGGAACGTGGCGAGGTGGAGAAGGAGAAGCATGTGCCCAGGGCCCAGACCTGAGAGAGCGTGTGCAGTGGGAGGACAGGCAGAGGGGCTGCAGGTGGGGGTGGGGGTGGCCGGCGGGAAGCAGGGGAGGCAGAAGAAGGGCTGTAGACAGGTCTGCCCATTGCTGGTCAGGTGGCCTTGATGGAACCTGCTCTCCTGTCATTCCCACAAACTGTGGTTCAACTCATGGGGCAGCTCTTGGGATTCACCAGAGTGGGTCCCCCACTTCGGTGGAGGTTTCAGAGTCTCCATCATTGGTGTCCTGAGTCGAAGTCCCCAGCTCTTTCCCTGACCTGTCCCCAAGGTCTAAACACTTGGATCATGAAGAAGTGGAAAAACCCAAAGCCCTTGAAAAGCATTCTGTTCTCTCACTCAAGACAGTGGGTGTGAGTCTTAATAGACCCAACCCAAACATGTCACATCATCCCCAAACACATAATTCCACTCCTTCTCCTTGTGGTAGGGATCTGGGCAGAAAGATGGGGCTCCCCCACGACGAGGACGGTAAATAAAGGAGTCTTAATTTGTAACCAGCTCGTGTTTGAAGTTCTAATTTTGTAGCTTTCCAGGGTGAGCCTTATTCTGTGGTCTACGATTGGCTGGCATCTTATTTGCTAACCCAAGCCACCATCATTCACCTCAGCCGGCCTACACTCCTGTTCTTTAAATGTTCTGCTGCTCCAGGCCTGCATTGGGCTGGCATTTCCCCCATGAGTTCGCTGGATTTTCATCCACCACCGAGCTGGCTGCCAGCGACGGATGTCCTGCCACCTGGGCCCCGCGGGAGACCTCGCAAAACCCAGCTGTGAAGTTGGTGCGCCCGTCAGAGCAGCTCCATGCCGTCCTAAACTGATTGTCACAAAGTCACAACCGGAAAGCAAGGAAAGTCACTTCCACACACCGAATACCCACCGTTCTCATTTTTCAGGTCAATATTCTTGACTCCGGGGGAGCGTCCCTCATTCCTCCAATGGATCGGTCTCTCATTCCTCTGCTCCTGGCCCGCTTGATGCGGTCACTTCACACCTGAGGGGCTGCCGGGGGCTGTGCTCCTGCATTCATCCTGTGGGGGCCCCTGACCCCCCACCCCAAACAACAACGCCTGTCCATTTCCCCAAGGCGGTGTGTGTGTGTGGGGGGGGTACTTCCCAGGAAAAGTCTTCTTTGGCTTGATCTGTGCCCACCATTCAGTCTGGCCACACTCTGTGGTTTCCATTCCTGTCATCCACTGACAACATCACAGAATGGGATTTACCACCATTAACACTGCACGCCAGTGGACAGCGCAGAATCCCAGTCTGCGCAGTTGTGGTCCTGAATGGTTTTCTTCTTGCCTGGTCTCCTCTTTCCCATCAAGTCCATATTAGTGGATACCACACAACAGGTGCTTGGGACAGGTTAGCTGTGGCCTTGAGTTGGGTTCCCTGGAAACCGGTGATTTGGGAGCAGGAGGCTTACTGCTCACTCCATTACGCCTCTTTTGTTTTGTTTTGTTTTTAAATAAGTCCTCAGATAGTGATGCTGGCACAGGCCCCGTCTCAGTCAGGGCTCTACCGGAGAAACGGACCAGGAGGAGGTATCTCTCTCTCTAGCTGTGTCATCTATCTGGAGATTTACTGCAACGGACTGGCATGCACACTTGTGGGGGCCAGCCAGACAAATCCAACATTCAGCAGGCAGGTCCGCAGGCTGAAACTCTAAGGCAGGAGCAAACGCGGAATTTCTTCCTCAGGGAAACCTTGGTGTTGATCTTAAGGCCTTTCAACTGATGAGACGGGGCCCACCAAATTATCAAGGATGATCTCCTTGACTTAAAGTTAACTGGCTGTAGATGTTAAATAGCCTCACAGCAACACCTAG